TGAGATGCTGACAGCATTTTTATTAACTGAAATCCCTGAAATTCTCTTCACAGTCATTCAATAGCCATTTCATTAAAATGAATACTTTACTTAAAGATCTATTTACTGTATTCCAGGGATTTGACTTCATTTAACATGACTCTAATGGGATCAGGAAGCAGGGAGCTTTCACTAAAACTGCACAATTTATTGTTTAGCAAAAATCAAAGTTAGTAAATGTAAAGTAAGACCACACATCTGTGTAATGGCTGAGGCATGACTAAACCTGGGTGACGAAACGCAGGGATATCAGAGACACAGAAACACATTAGAAAATGAGGTGTTGCTTCATTCTAGTACAATGTCATTAAAACGAATCACAAAATGCTCATTGCAAGATTCTTACCTTAACTAAGTATCATATGTGCCAGAAAAAAAAAAAGAAAATAGGAGACAATGTTCTCATGGATCACATTTCCTGTCAAATCTCATGAAGTGCCACGTTTTGCTTCATCACGTACCTGGAAAGGAAATCGATCTTAAATGCGGTGTCAGAATATAATGAGCCAATGCGATGTGAAGTTCTAAATGTGAGTGTGACACAGGTCATGACATCAGTGGGGACATGACACATGCCACCAGCCAAAGCATTGCCGCAAAACACGTGCAACCCTCCATTGCCGCTTCATTCACTGAGACACATGTCCTGCTTAAGCTGATTTTATCTCTGACTGAATATTAGCAAAATTAGGTATGAAAATGTTCCATAGGAGCATAGACATATATTATCTGATGTTATCAACTTTAGATTCTGTATAAAGAAATAATTTCTGGATTTCATCTTTTTTTTTTTTATTTAGCAAAGAGAGTAACAAAAGAAATCTTTGTGAATTTGCATCATTCATTGTTTATCTTGTGCTGGTGGGCTTTCCAGCATGCTCTTTATGTAAAGTGATATAGTTCCACATGTCAAACTTAATACTGTTTTGCTATAGAAGAAAAAACAAAACAAAAACACATTGGGTTAATTCTGAGGAGAAGGTGGTGGGAAACAGCTTATAAAAGTAAAAACAAAAATAAAGCTGATCTAAACAAAGAAACAGATTACAGAATAAACAAACCTCAAAACAACCCAGGACATAAAATGTTGTATTTTATTAAAATGTTTCGTACCTCGGCCACTGGAACTCAAAGGCGTTTAAATATGGCCCTATTCTGAGGCCTAAGCTGCTGCAATGTGCAGCCTTAAGTGATCAATGAGTTCTTTTGTTTTAGGAATGACTTGCCACCACAGTAATTAAAATGGTTTGGAACAGCATGTACTATTTGAAGTCGTGTAGAAACTTGCATTTTATCCACAAGCTCTCACAATTTAAATTAGCTCTGAATATACAGATATGCTCTTTTCACATGTGCAGCACAGATTATTTTAAATCCATATTGTATAAAAGTTTTATCTGTAATTCTGTTATCTAACTGCTTGTAGATAATGTTTAACTATTGTGCTTCTCAAACTTAACAAAAATAAGGGACGTTTCACTTCTCATCTCATTAAAAAAAAAAACAAAAAAAAAAAAACAAACTGGAAACTCTTAGAAAGGCAAAAATGTCAACATTAAATACATGTCAGGATATGTTGATTTTAAGATCCAATTTTTAAAAATAAGCTTGAACCTAAAATATTAAGAAAAAATGTTTCTGGGAACCAGTAAGGCTTCTTTCAATGACTGATATTTAGGTGAACTTTTTATTTTCTCCTATGTTTAAACTAAATCCACATTTTAAGGTGGATTTGGTTTTGGAACCCAGAGAACAAGCCCTTTAATTCACTGTTCATTCACCTTCAGCACTATTTTTCATGATTTGTGAGACGTAAAAAAGAACAATGCAAATAGCTTGGGACCAAATGCACAAAAAAAAAAAAAAAGACTTTGAAATTATGATATAGGAATTCTGCAATCAGAGAAAACATGTCACTCAAGTTAAATGTGTGTGCCTGGAGGAAAATACACTTTTTAAATGATCCTCATCTTTTTATTTCAACCCTGTGTTTTTTAAATGTCTTTGATATCTCTCACATTTTTGGATGTGTCCAACCATTAAATTACATGAGTTGTGCTATTTTTACCAAAAGTTTAACTCTGTGTGTGCATGTCTGGAAACTGAGGAAGAGAGTGGCTGATGGACGAGGATGCTTGTGTGTAGGCAGCTCTTCTGTATGCCTGTGTGTGTGCATGTAATTTTATATAACACTTGGTTATCTCTTCCTTGGTAGAAATCATCCTTCTTCTGCCAGAGTGCCTCCTCTGCAGTCCTCGCAGTTCTTTGCAGATCATATCTTTCTACATCACAACATTAATGTTCACCGTCTCTTCAATCTACGCAGTGATATGCCCAGTGCTTGACGTTTGCCACCTTATCTCTTTTAGGCCCAAACAAATAAGGTGCAAACAAGATTGTTTTCTTTGTGCATATGCAATATTGCCTTGGACACCAAGGTTGAAGAAAGATGCTGTGAGATGATTTGGTTGCTGTTGGCAACCAATCACTTAGAGCCAGTTGTGCATGAATACATCATGGATACTGTATTGCATAACATTTTTTGCGCTGAGGCATAAATTACCATGTGGTCTATTTAGTTGTATAATATTCAGGGTATTTGTTGGTATGTTGTGTGTAAATACCTAAGCATGGAATAATAACTATGTAGATAAAATCAAAAGTTTATAATATTGTAAAAGAATAATATTTTATTCTTTTACACACCCTCTTTCAAGGATGTAACAACCTTGCATGGCCTTGAGGAAGCTGGGCAAGATTGACACAAATCAACAGACCAAGCATTTGACTTCTAATCAGATTACAAAAAAAAAAAAAAAAAAGAAAGAAAACATGCTCAACACTCAATATCACAATTTAATTCATTACAGTAAACGATTTATCCCAAAATAACAACTTTGCAAGAACTTTCAGCTGCTAGTGGAGATGATTAAAATATGAGGGATAGAAACTGGTTGTTCTTGGGATGCAGAAATTTTTCCTATTATGACTTTGGGAAGGGCATTGCAGGATACTCTTCCATCATCCCAAAGACAGTGTTTCCAATTTAGTAAATTTGTTGCTTAATTAGTAACAACTCCAAGTCTTTGAAGTAGGCTACTGACAACCTCATGGAGCTCTGTAATGTTAAAATATGGTTTTAATTTGTTTGTTATGCAGCTTGATTTGTACTGTGTCCCTTGGAGCTTTTTTTTTTTTTTTTTTTTACTTTACCAGAACATTTTAAGTCACACACAGTCAGACTGTTGACAAGGCTAGAATGTAAAGTCAGAGATTTTCTCATTCCTTATCTTTCATCAACATAACTGAAAGGAACCTCCTCGAACATCCTTGAGTTATTATTACATATAATGGGCATCTGTAGGCTATTGTTGTTGTCTAATTTTGGTAATCCATATAAATAAGGCATACTTACAATTGATGCTACAGAATGTATGCACTTTTTTGCGCACTGGACACATTATTTTAAAGACATCAGAAATTGTCTTCTCTCACTCCACCACCTTTTGTTTCTCAGTGAACATAGAGAGAGGTACAGGAAAAGCAGGTAAAACACAGTTCAAGACACACCAAAAACAAATCAGATTCAAATATATAGTTGATTTAATTAGAAAGAGGTGAAATCCATCTAGTTTCTTAGTAGGCCTACTGTATGTAGAAATATGCATCACTGTCATAGGACTGATAAGAAACACAGCAACATTTTAGAATCAGGTTGCCCAAGAGAAGTGTTTACAGGGAGAAAGGTACTCGTCCACGTAGTGACCCAACGCCATAGTTTTGAGTATGTTGTTGCACAAAAAAACAACAAAAGAAACTGAGTCTTGGTTGTGAGAGGAATATCCAATTACCACAATAATCCTATGCAATGTGTGCAGAGAAAAATGCCATGCAGATGGGCAAGATTGACACAAATATGTTCGTGCCCCTGAACATTCTTGGGGACATTCAGGGGCCATTTTGTATTCAGAGGGATTTGTGTTTGTAGTGTTTGCTTAATTTTGCTTTCTGATTAAAGACAACCTAAGTAAAAGGTTGGGTTTAAGGAAATTTTAAAAAGCATAAACCCTAGAGTCCTTTTATTGAAAAGAAAAAGTTCTTTACAAACATTAAAAAACAAAGCTTTGAAGAAATTCTATCTGATAGCACTAAGTTAGTTTTTATTTTTTTATTTTATTTTATTTTTTTTAATCTCAACAAAACAGATGTCAGCCACAGTTGAAAGTTGAAACCCACGTGTTTGGAGTTGTATTTGAAACATAGTCAATTACGAATTTAACCATGGCACTTGACTTAATGTAATGTTTTGATTGTTGATTCTATGTTGCATGACTTTGTGTTTTTGTGTTTTTTATGATGTAAAGCACTTTCAAATTCCTTGCTGTGGAAATGTGCTATGCAAATAAAACTTAATTGATTGATGAAAATAAAATAAGCACAAAAGATTGTCATGCAAGGAAAATCTTCAAGAATGATTTTCTGTTTCACCAGATTGTCTTTAAATCAATGTAGGTAAGCAAATAACTAAAACAATTAATACACTTGAAAAATGTCTGTCAAAAAAAATAAATAAATAAATAAAAAAAAATAGGTATATATATATATATATATATATATATATATATATATATATATATATATATATATATATATATATATATATATATATATATATATATATATATATATGGCTTATGCTGTAGAATTGTCACCTTCATCAGAGATAAGCATTCATCCTATTTACTGCCCCTCTTTTATATTCACATGTTCACCTTTTCAAACAGTACATCACCAAATGGCACCTCTCCACCTCACAGATGTGTTCAGGGTTGTCCTTGGAGATTTCCCCAAGCAAACAAAGCTTTCTCCCCCCTCTATTTTGCTCTCTGACTACACCCCCCCTCCCTTGCCTCCATCCATCTCGCCTGTCCGCACTCTCTCTCTTCTCCCTTCGATTTCACACCAATGAGAGTGCAGCATGTAGCTCCCACTCACTGGCATCAGAAACACGAGATATCTTTAGTCTTGAGCTACACAATTTCATACAAATAACAGCATTGGCTAGACAGAATCTGCGTTCTGCCAAAACGCACATTGGTAGATAGGTAGTGGTAAAACAGGAAGGGAAGAGAGTGCAGCTGATCTCTCATACATCAGGCTCAAGGTAAATGATCCATGTTAATTTATTGTATGACACTGTTATGTAGTTATTCTGTTGACACTGAACTCTGAGCAATGTTTGGGGCTTGGTTAACCTTTAGAATTCACAAGTGATTACCGTGTTTGTCTTTACATAGTATGCATGCTTACTGTTCAAGCAGGAAAACACTTAATAAAGTAACTTGCTGTCTTTGCTGCTAACATTGAAATATGAACCAAATAAATGCATGGCAGGCATTTATTATTGATATCCCACAATTACATTTCATCCTTGTGCATGGTGCATAATCAAAATTCTGTATTGTGTATGATGTGATTTCTGGTTAATACGGTTAATCATCAGTTCAACCCCCCCTACTTTCCTCACTTGATGCTAATACTCTGTTGTCTTTCAGTTTAATAAATATCACTCACTTTGAATTAAAACAAAGATGCTTTGAAGCCTAGTCAAGTGGCATCTCAGGGCAATTAGTTTTTAAATCTCCACATAGAACCTACATGCTTCAATCATTCTTGCCTTATCCGTGTTTTTTGTCAGCAAAATTCCTAAGCGGTATATCTATCAGAACTACAAAAACAAATTCTTATTTCTTGTAATGTTTAGCCATGTGCCGAATCACAACAAAATTCATTCTGAATAATAAAACTTGATCTTCAAGTTATCTAGAAATAGACTTTTCTACGCACGAATGGACATACCTGATTTCAATATCAAGGTTTGGAGGTACACCTAATTTACACATATGTCAATACGATGTCATTTCAATTTAAATATATATTTTGCCTATTTTTGGGCAACATTAAGACTGGTTTATTTTTTTCATAATTGTATTAACATGTACCACACAGTTAATTAAAGCTTTATAAAGACCACAGACAAATGCCAGAAAGGACAAGCTGATGCTTAATTACATAATGCTTCGATATTGCAGGAATAATAACAATGAGTGAAAGGGATTATTGTTTTATCTGCCTCAGTACAAACGTTTCAGAAAATATGAGTAAACATAAAGAAACATTCAGATATTTACATTCAAGCGGTGGATTAAAACGTCTTCCACGTGCATGAACAAGAGTAGACGGACATGCAAGCTAGACAGAGCGTGCACTGTTAACAACATGCTTTCTATAAACCACCAAAGACGAAGCTGATTAAATTTAGATTCTAATTTCCAAACAGAACCTCAACACTTTTATATCCTGTGATATCAATGGAGTGAGTTGTCCTGACAATATATCTACTTACATGACAAATACGGTTTAAAAATACAAGGCAGCCAACTGCACAGCAATGTCAACAATGGCAACCAAACAAGAGTTCATGAAATGTCCCACAGTGTGTTTGCATGTAATCCCATGGATTTTTTTTTTTTCTTTTTTGCTAGCCAATCTTGGCTGAAACGTGTCTGTACTTATAGCCTAGACAGCTATAGAATAAAATATTATGAAGGCAAAATTGCAACATTAATACTGTGCAGTTATTTAAAGATAGCATACTACAGTCCAAAGGAACATTCAGCTGGATAGGCTATTTAAAAAATATTCAAAAATGTGCATGTGTATTTGGGATTAAAGACACATGACTTACAATAAGTAACAAACAACAACTGCACCAGCAGGGATATTCAGATACCAGTAGAAATGTTACTTAAAATAAGTTAAAACTAGACAAATAATTGTACAAATCCCAGCATGCATGCATGTAAACACTTGAATTTGTTGGGAGAAGTGATGGTTATATAGTCTAACAGCTGGAGGGAGGAAGGGTCTCCTATTCCACTCCTTTGTGCAGTTAGGCTGTAGCAGTCAGTCACTGAAGGAACTCTCCAGTTCAGCACCAGCTTAATGCATAGGCTGGGAGAAGTTATCAATCAGTGGTGCTATTTTAGGTGGAGTCTTCCAGTCTCCCAACACCTGCACTGGATTAATGAAGCATCCTTGCTCCATTAGCCAGGATAAAACAGAATAACTACGAGCTCGTGGCTTGTAGTTATTCTGATTTTGAGCTCTCAAGCCCTGTTTGCATGGAACCTGGAGATGTTGGCAAAATTCTGGAAATTTCAGAGTTGAAGTAAGTGTTGGCATTCTGTAGATTCCTGCACATCGAATATGCTATGGAAGAAACCATGTTTTGCTTTAACAGCTCTCTCTTACACCTGTTGAAGAATTATATCTCCTCCTAGCTAACCTATTCCGAAACTGTCAGTGAATAATTACTGGCAGGAAGGCTTGGGAATGTTTTTTGCAGTTTTAATATCTTTTTTTAAAATAAAGTCTTTAATAAAAACAATTAGATGAAATATGTATCATCTTGTTTTGAAAAACTAAACATTGAGATGGCCACATGCATCTCTACACACAACTATCGTTTAATTCAGACAACTTGTGTAAAAGTACAAATGCTTCTTCATTAACTGATATAGTACAAGTTTGAGTTTGGTCAGAGTTCATCACCCCAAGGCCTAACGTCTCATAGAGTGATGAGTGAATCTCTAGCCCCTAAGCTAACATGCCAGGAAGAGAGGAGATTATCCTTGATCCTGAAGTCCAAGGGTGGGTTGTTGGGTGGAGGAGAGACAGAAGAGGATCAAGCAGAAACTCGGGGGAGGAGAAGAAGGCAGCAGGTTGCAGCAGTAGGCATGAGCATCTCATGAAACACAGACTGCAGCTGGAGGTTGTGAAGCTTAAATAGAGCGCCCAAATCAGTAAGGTGTGTTTGATGTATTTGAGTGTTAAAAAAGAGGTGGTCACTTATTCATGATGTGTAGAATGGATGCAGCAGCTCGGCTTTAACCAGGGACAAGAGCTAATCATGCCCTCACCAGACCTGGCAGTGCTCCAAATATTCTAATGTAATTCTCTTGGCAATACAGCTGATTCCCACAGTGGTACAATCCTGTGTCCTGCTCTTTAGTAGTACATCAAACTCCAAACTGTCTATAGTAAGTTGTGAGTGTTTCCAAATGGTAGTTAAATTGAAAACAGACTCAATAATCCTAGCCTGGTATTTGGGTGTGTTACAGAGTAAGGAGGACATTGATGAGGAGCAAATATTGTGAACAGAGACTCTAGTTGTCAATAGACTGATTCATAATAATCGACTTTAAAACTGATTATTTAGGTTACAGAGCTTCAGGGTAATTGGTTTTCTAGATTTCTAACCACAAGGCCTTTGTCCTGAACATGAGGTCTTGATCTGGTTTATGGGGCCTTTGGTACAACACACAACATTTGGAAACTCGTTTCATTAACATCTAACTTTTTGTAAATAGGATATTGAGTCAAGAGACGCACAATGAAGTATTTAAGTAGTTCTATTTGGTTAACAAAGAATACTTCATTAAGGTTATAAAAAATCATTTATGATAGGCCTGTATTATGTGAAGAACCACAATAGAATTTAGTTTATATACTCAACATGTTTTCAGTCTGGGTAGACAATTTATATTCTTTGTGGAGTTAGAGGGGCTTATATGAGAGGTTTGCAAGTCATTTTGCTTAATCAGATTTAAGATTGCATATTTTTATGATTATTTGAAATCAGTGACCAAAACATTAGACATGTTTAGAAAATGTTTCACTTTAAACCCTAATCCTTTAATGAAAACCTATACATGTTGAACTAATGCTTATTGTCTAAGTCTTATTGAAACTATACTTATTATGGTGCTGTTGCATCTATTACGCTACTTTTTGAAATGATTTTCAAATGATTTGTGCCAGTTGTTGTAATCGGCAATTGGTATTAGCAGTTGTGTACTTAAAATATAACTTTGTCATAAATTAATGAGAGTGTCTGTCTGTATATTGTTTTCAGTGTGCATTTTGTACTTTTGCTGAGTATCTGACAGGGCATAATCCAGGACTGTCCCTGTGAACCAGGAGGCTGAGGTTAATGGTATTAATGCCCCATTTTGGCATGTAATTTCACTGCTGTCTCCTCGGTTAGCTCCAATCCCACCCATTAACAACAAAGGAAATCTAAAAATAAAGAGACAATTCATAATCCTAATAGTATCAAAATTCCTGAAAAAATGATTTGCTAATGTATTGTTGTTGCATAAGCATTCGGTTTTAATTCTTCTTTTGAGTGCTTCCTAATCAATGTTGTGCTGATAAACATTTTTATTTGTAACTTTACTTTCAAGTAAGTCTCTGTTTGTGTCACCCCTGGAGATTTTCCAGGGAAAGAAAGTCATCTTCTCTGCAGGCTCTTTATTATTACTTTATAAATAACCTGGATTGTTATGTATATGCAAAGTAAAAGTCAAAACTCTCCATAGGCAAAGCCAATCAGTGTGGAAAGCCAAAAATAATCTAGAAAATTATTTCTAAGACTGATGACTAAGAAAACAGTCATTCAGTCATTCAGACTGTTTTCTTAATCTAACAAGAAATCTGAGATTTGGGTTCTGTTCCAATTTTTAAAACCCAATGCAGTGGTTAATGTAAATGAGCAACTGCACCATAAGCTTGGCAACATAATATTAAATGACTGTGTACTGCTTACATTAATATGACAAACTTAGTAAATCCCCTAGAAGAGAAATGCTTTTAGTGGCAGCCCTTAGAGTAAAGCCACTGTCTGCAATCTAAAATAAATCCCTGGCACAAACTGATTACATAAATGGCTAAAGGCGGGATGAGTGGTGAGAGACCTATCCTCAGTTTGTAGCACAGTTAAAGCCACACATAAGAACATACTTTGGCACCCTGGCCAAAAGACCCATTTAACTGCTAAAAACACTGCACACCTGTGGCTTTCTCTTTCTGCTAATTACTGAGCATTAATTCATTAAGTGCCATAATATGTTCTGTCCTCAATATTTTTAAGACATTTAGGTAGCTTTACCTTAAACTGTCTCTTTATCTTTGTGCCAGTTATAATCATACATTAATGTGATTCGTCACTACTGAGTCCCTGCTGTCCAACCAACCTTCCAGACCCTCTAGGTTAAATTTAGCAAGCTCATGCAAAAACCCATTCTGTCCAGTTAAATCAGA